TAGGAAAACGGAAATGCTAACCACAGCAAGACCACTACACATCTAGCAGGCTTCTGAAAACTAAGACACCCAATAGGCTTCCTAAAACTAAGACAGCAAGGGGAGCAAGCTTTAAGGATATGGAGAACCTAGAATGTCAGGAAGTGATGATGGGTATGTAAAACAATAGGTCACTCTGAAAAACAGTCTGACCATTCAGTCAAGTCTTACTCATACACCTGTCTATAATACAGCCAAGTCACCCCTCGGTGTTTAGTGAAAAGAAATGAAAGCATGTCCAAAGGCTGTCACATGAATTTTTGCACCAGCTGTATTTTTAATAACTAGAATAAGCTGAAGTGACCATTCTGGTTCTCATTTGGTGAGTGATTAAACAGACTGTAATTTATCAACACACAGAGTGCTTAGCAGTGAGAGGAGAAATGCTCTAGTGACAGATGTGGTACTAGAGATGAGGATAGATAATTCTAAGAAGGAAGTCCTAGCTGGGAAAAGGGGATGAGCAGGATTGGGAGAGAGAGGGAGTGTGTGTGTGTGTGTGTGTGTGTGTGTGTGTGTGTGTGTGTGACCACAGCACTTTGTATACATGCATGAAACTGTGAAAATGAAAAAGCATCATGCAAGAAGTCAAATCCCCAATGGCAGTTTCCCCTTTATGTAACACTGTAGACAATGCGATTGCCTACACTGGTTGACAGAAAGCAGACCAGTGGTTAGCGGAGGTGGGGGGTGGGAAAGAGCAAGATTGCAAGGAGTGATTGTAAAAAGGTGGAAGGAACAGAGAGAACTGAGAAAGGAAAGAACATGACAGAAAAAAACCAAGGGGTGAAAGGTATGGAGGGTATCTTTGGAAATGCTGTATGCTCAGTCTATTGGCTGCAGTAGCAATTTCTATTTTAAACTATGTCAATAAAACATATAAATAGTTGCCATAAATGAACAGATGAATGAGAAATTCCTAAATGAAATTAGGAGACTGATAAATTTATTAAATTGGAAAAAGAAATAAAAAATAAGGATGTACACATAAATAAATTTGTTTCTTGTGTCTTATACCATTATGCACACAATTATGGTGGTAAATGTAGAAACTATTAGTTATAACTCATATAGACAATATTTTTGAGACATGGGACCTATCATTCAGTTCTGGTGGGTATATAAGAGGGGCACAATTTTTTGGGGGGGAAATTTGATAATATATAGTAAAACTCCAAACAGTATGAAGCTTTGACACAATAAATCTATCACAAGGGATTGATCCTAAGTGAATAGGGGTCACATGACATAAAATATCATATTTGTTTTATAAAATAGCAGCAAAAAGACTAAAAAGAGCACAAAATCTATCAGAGAACCGATTTTGTAAAACACAGAATTATCTGCCAATGTATCCATGAAAAATGAAATTATAGAAAAGTTTTAGAGACATAGAAAGATGTTTGCTGGACATTACTGAGTGATTAAAACCGTAAAGCCAGTGCACAGAATATATTTAGATAAAATACATAAAGGTTCTACATTGATATTTAAGACAAAGATATTTGCACTGATTACCTCCACATTGAGTTCTTAGATTTTTTTTCTTCAGTTTGATTCGATTTCTGCTTGTCTTACAATGGAGATACATTGCTATGATTATTGCAACCCCAATGAAAGTTATTTAAGAAAAATGAATGATACTACTCTACAAATGAATGCAATCAGCCTTGGTGGTCATTCTGAAAACATTTCACTCAGGCTACAAAACCGTTTAGATGCCTTGGGAATGCCTGCAGTATTTCTGCTCTGAAAATGGAGGCTGCAGGGTACTTAGTGCCTTTGGGCTGCACCAAAGGCAGGAGTGGAACAGGATTTGCTCTGCCTTCCAGAGAAACTGGCATACCCGTGAGCCCCCTGCAGGAAGTACAACTATCATCAAGTCTCAAAGAAGGAGTGCTTGGGTTGCCCAGGGCAGTGGGTCAGGTAGGCTGAATCCTTTGCATAGCACAGACTCCAGGGGTCGTTCCCACATCTAATCTACATAGTCAAGAGTGAAGAGCAACAAGGGACTTACTTGAGTCCTAAATTCCACTTTACACTCATGGAAAGGAGGCCAAGAGGACCCATCCAGGTGCTATTCCACCAGCTGCAGCTGTGGCTTGAAGTGAAATCAATGCCAATGGGTCATATAACTAAATTGGCCATTTTTGGAAACAGATTCACTCACCCTCTGGAATCTCAATGCTCATGTCTCAAAGAGTAAGAGCTAGCTCTGAGACATGGCTTTTAAGACTCCGAGTCTCCCTTCTCCCCTTCCTCTAGTGAAACAAGAGAATCAAAGTTCCTGTGCCACAGAACCACATGGTAGGTACCACAGCACATGATTAGGTTACATGCAGTTAGCCACACACACCAAGAAATACTTGAATCTAACCACTTGCTGGCTACAGTAGGTCTGGTAGATGGCTTTCATCCATAAACTCCAGTGCATCAGGCTTGGATATCAATGAGTGACTGTACCGAGTGACATAGGCATCATAGCCAGGGGATGCCTTGGTGTGGGAGGAATGCTTAACAGAATGTATTACCATTAGAATAAGATCAACCATTCACAGTACTAGATGGATTAATATGGAATAGTTCTTTTACTACATCATGCTCTTGTAAACAAAAGCTAGGAGCTGGGCAGGTGGTTCAGTGGTTAAGCATGGTCACCTCTCACGGAATATCTGAGTTCAATTTCAGCATCCATGTCCTATACGCCAGCTCCAAGGGATCTGATCACACTCATGTGCATATACACACACCCACACACACAATATACAATTAAAAATCTCTAAGTATTCATCTTAGCATCCTATTATAGTGTATCTGTTTTTTTTTAAAGCTCAGAATTCAAGACGATCCTCAATTTGCTCCTTACTGTTTCAATTTCTTAGGGACTCAGTGCAAAGTTGCCTGCTTGGATTGTTTCTTGTAACAGAGCCAGGGGTGGGAACCTGTCCAATTGGGAGCAAATGGATGAACAAATCTGAGGGAAAGCTCAAGATGGGCAGAGGACATCACAATTGTTGAGTTGAACTCTGACCGAGTTTAGCTTATCTTGAGGATTCTATTCCAGTCTAGCTACTCACCATCAGGTTCAAAACAAAGAAGTTGTACAGTTTTTCTAGAAGGATTCCTAATAGATACCTTGAACAATTTTCCTCAGGATTCTTGACACCATTTCTTCTTCTTCTTTTTTAACCCCAAGCATCCATTCTTCTGCATTCTGCCTATTTTAATCCCATTCATTCTTTAGTACACATTTCTATAGTATCCTGGAAACCAAGTTCTCAGAGTCCTGACATTTGACACAATTTCTGAGCCCTAATTTATCTCCAAGTTGCACACAGAGATCCCATAGGTCAACAGTGCTGGAGCAGCACTGATTTTTGCCTAGGCTGCTACACTCAGGGACTCCATGAACACTGGTTCACTGTTTCCTTCAAATGGAGCAGTCTGGATGTAGACTGGAATATTAAGGTGTCTTAACTGTTAGATTTAAATACCAGTCTAAGGTAACAAAGCATCATAAACCAGCAATGGAATGCAGCAGCAAGCACAATAAATCCTTATTGCCCGTGGCTAAAATGAGACAAAAATATTATTTCAGAATAAGGGAGAAAGAAATTATAACTATCATGGAAAGGTATGAGTCGATGAACCTTTATTGCATATGGAATGGTACCTGAGTGACTCAAAAGGATTATTCAGCTTGAAGATCAGCAATTACTATGCCCTTTGTTAGCTACTGGGCTATAACTAACACAAGGATAATGAGGAGTCTCAAACAAAGATGCCTAAAAGCACATACTTAATTTGTAGTAAGTTTATCATTGGTAAGCCAAGGAACTGAAGTGTAAAGCGTGTGGCTTCCAGTTATTGGGATATGGGAAAACACAATGCCAAACTGTTCATGTATTCGGAAACACATAGTAGGGAACAAGGGCTAATTCAAGTGGTGTCTTACCTTCACCAGGATCAGAAATAGAGAAGACAGAAGCGTTTTCATCTGCTGATAAGGTATTATCATTATCATTAATTCAGATGACAATGGAAATAGAAGGCCATCTTTCTGCACTCTAATTTTAAACTCACTAAGGTCCTTGGCTACTCTGATAAGTAGTTACCAGGGTGACTGGGAAACCTCTGGCTGGGAGAATAGAGGAACTTTAAACTTTGAGCCAAGAGTAATCTAGCGGCTGTTATCAACATTCAGGGGCATATAGTGTAAAGCATGTATCCGCTTTATGGGCTTAAACATAAAAGTGGTTAAAGGCTTTGAGTTCTCTTTCCAACCAGGGTTAAGTCATAGACCCACAGCACAATCAAGAGAAAAGCATACAGATTTCCCATGTGTCCCTGTTCTCTTATATGCATAGCCCTGTCTTTCCCATGCCTCAGGCCATGAGTCCAGAGTGAGGAGCCCAGAACTCAGATGCAGGCCGAAGACTGCTCCTGGGTGGTATCAGTTGTGTAGTCAATAGCTTTGTCCCCAAGCTTTTGCCTTGGAAAGTCTGTCTGGGCTGGCTGTAGACTCTGCACAGCGAGAGCTGGCCTAGACAAAATCGCTGGCTTCTAGGGTGCTAACACTATAGTGTCTTTAAAAGCTGATTTTAGCTGTTTCAGCATAGAGGACTCGTGGTGGGGAGGAGACACAGAAGGGGTTCTTCACTGCCTACCCCCTCCTCAGAGTTCAGTGAGTCCCCCTGAAGCAGAGGGTCTGGGCCGGGGCATCAGCCCAAGAGGGGCCATATTAGAATCCAGACAAACTGGAGTCCAGACTGAGAGCCGCACTCACCTCGTGTGGAAAGTCAGCCAAGTTTCCACTGGTGAGTCTGGATTCTGTAGGCAATTTAGTGATTTCCTGTTGGCCACCCCCCACTGCTGCCCCCTCCCACCTGCAGGCAGTCACCCATCCATAAATCCTGTCCAGTGCTGGATTTCTGCCCAATGTTTCAGAAGGTTGGACTCACCAAGGAGAGCGGAATTCCCAGGATCCAGGACCAGCTGTGTTCCCAGAGGAGACATCAGCACTGAAGGAAGGTTCGGTCCAGTGGCTAAGAGCAAGGCCCTGATGTCTTCCAACTGTGTGGGGACTTGTGGGGGATCTGGGAGAAGACAGATGGTGAATCAGGAGGTGAGAGTACACAGGCTATGTTGAAGGAGAGAGTAGGCATGTACCCCTGTGTGTGTATGATAGGTACTTGTTGCGATTGACTTCATTTTTTTTTCCTATAGAGAAGGTATACCTATGAAGGTGAGTCTGGATTTCAAAGTTAACATTTGATGCCTGAAATAACAAGGTCTGTAATAAGAACCAGGCCTGTGAATTTCAGTTCTCACTTTAGACCACTTTGAAGCACCCCACCACTGGGCCTCTCTAACAACGTAGATAAATTGAAACACCTTACAAAGACAGGGTTTTTTTTTAAAGAACAATTTTAGCATTTACTATATGCCAAGTTGTGAGATAAATAGTTTTCAACCAATTTTTTACTTAGCTCATAATATCCTTAGGAATGAGGCAATTTGTAACTGTCTCCACAGATAGAATACTATCCAGGCATTTATTTAAAGGGATCTGTACAAGTGCCTTTTCCAGTGAGAGACAACCCTAGTGAAGCTAATTTGCTTTATAGTCGAATGCTTATGCCCAAGTAGAACCCAGATAAGAAAGGGCAGGAAGAAATTGTTGCGGGGAGTCATACAAAATCTTCAAAGGAGACAGGACTGAAGTCTTCAGTGGTGGGTTTAGACAGGCCCCTACCATGTGTTTGGCATTTTGTTAGTACATGTTAGGCATGTACATAAATGTTGATGGTATCTACTTCAGGAATAACCCTTTTGTCTTTCTGCCTTTGATTGCCAAAGACCATCACAGAGAGAAGACAATGGTGAAATGATGTATCTACATAAGAAACAGTGCATTCAATCCTTTTCATAGGGAAAACATGATTCTGTTTAGGAAGTCACAGTTTGAACTATGGCTGTGCCCTTGATTAACTTAGGTTAGTCCTTGGCCTACCTGGCTTTAGGGGCCTCATTATGAAGATCTCTGAGTAAACAGTCATTGTCAAAGTGTCTTTATTCTTCTCTTCTTCCTTTTGCTTTTATTTATTAATTAAAAGCAAAATGGGGGAGGCTAGTTTCATCTGAGAAACAATCTATTCTCCTTGGGTCAAACGTCAGTCCCTGCTTATGTTTCTATAGCTTCTATCGCAATTCTTGGTGTGTATGTGCATGCCTAATTGATCTTCCCAGTGGAAATGTAAGTTCTCCCAGGGGCAGATACCACCTCATTTCCCCCCAAAACTCTACTAGTGTCCACTTAACTAGGGCTTAGAGGTAACACTCTACAAATATCTGTCGACATGAATGACTGAAAGAATGAATACCCATGCCATTCCATATCGAGCTTTCAGACTACAAGACTTGATGTGAAATTTCAGTTTGATATACAAAATCTCCCCTTTAAAAACTAAGCCAGATTATCACTGGGGAAAAAAAGAAATGCTATTATTTCCAGGGTAACATTTGTTAGTTAAGCCAAGACTTCCTATAAAGATCTGAACAATGATTGTTCTTCCACAATATTCATGGCCATACTCTATTTGGAATGCAGTAAGAACTCGTTCTGAGAAAATGCCTCACTGCTGATGCCACAGTAGCACTCCAAGGCTTCCATCTCTGCTAGCAGAGACAGCAAGGCAGGGCTATTAGGGAGAAAAATCCCACCAGCGAGTGCCATCACTCAGCATGACCCCAGGATAATGGCTCAGTTGATGAAACCCAATGGAAAACAAATGACATCCTTCTTTTCTCCGAGCCAATTTTCTGTGGCTACCTATGAAGTCTGGAGGTTTATGCAGCCACCAGTGAGATGAAACCACAGCTGGGCCCCTGGAATCTGAGTGTGTGGGGAGGGGAGGGTACATCATCAGCTGTGGGTGTGAAAATCGAAGTGTAAAGTTTAGTTTTCCCCAGAAAACGTCCACAATGTATGTTGACGTATACATGTGTGGCATGCTATTATTATTTCTCATATTTTGCTTCACTCCCTTAGCATGACAGTTTTCTCTTGGTGCGAGAGTCAGAATACAGGCTCTAACTATTGCCCTATTTTCAAAGGGTAAGGCCCCATCTAGAAGCTTCTGTTGTGTCTCATGCTCCCACCCCTGACTTAGTGGAAAGGAAGTACAGGAGGGCAGACAAAAGGGGCAAAATGGCCAAGCTCTGTCCTGTGGACACATTATGGCAGACGTTGACCCAGGGACTGTTTGTTTATTATTTTTTTGAGACAGGGTTTCTCTGTGTAACAGCTCTGGCTTTCCTGGAACTTGTTTTGTATACCAGGCTGGCCTTCAACTCACAGAGATCCGCCTGCCTCTGCCTTTGCCTCCCGAGTGCTGGGATTAAAGGTGTGGGCTACCACTGCCCGACGGGACTGTTTTTATTTGTAAGTGTTCATTTTACATCAGGACCTGCAACAGAGGTTTTAATAAGGAGTTCTTATGCTTGGGACGTGTGTGAAGGTTTCATGCAGACTGAAAAATACCTGGAAATGTTTGAAAAATTTTTTACATATATGAATTTTTTTTCAAGATAAGGTTTCCTTGTGTTGGAACTCATTCTGTAGACCAGGTGGGTCTCAAACTCATTGAGATCCATTTGCCTCTGCCTCCCAAGTTCTGGGATTAAAGGCATGTGCCACCACTACCCAACTACATATAAGACATTTTTTAATCCATGTTTTCCATTTGCTCTTCAAAGAAAACCCTAGCATGGGATTAAAAGTCGTTTTCTTCACCAGCCTCATTTGATAATCCTCGTTTGTCAGCAAAGTAGGCAATCCTCAACTGTCAATTTTCTCATCAACAGCAGCATCTAATACTTATCCAGGTGAGAAATTTATCAAATACCACAAAGGTTAACTAATGAGGTAGAGCCAGGTTTCACCCTCAGCTTTGGCTGGTCCCACACTCTGTTTTTTCTTTTGGAAGGACTGACTGTGGGAAGAGTGAATAAAGGGATAGCCAGTCTATTTTATGTTCCTAATTCAGAAGGGGGAAAAAGGAGGTGGAGGGTGGGCCAGCCACCACACACAGTCCACAGGCCATGGTTTTGAGCAGTTTTTACCTAGAATCAGGAGTTGTGTCCCCTCTGTCTGTTCTCCGTGAAGATTGGCTGCCCGGCAGGAATATAGGCCTTGATCAGAGAAGGATACATTTATGAGCAGCAAGGAACCCTCGTGCAGATGGTGGGAGGAGCCCAATTTGCTTTTATTTCTGAACCAAGTGACTTCGGCTTCAGGCACACCTACAAAGACAAAAATATGCTTATCAGGCAAATGCCAGATGAACCCAGGACATCAAGAGCCTCTGGTCACCCCACCCGGTACTGCAGGAAGCATCTGCCTGGGCGTCTTCTACTGTCCTCAGCCAAACCAAATATCACACCTTGGGCTTCTTCTTGTGTCTGGAGCTTTTGCTTTTTAAGACTTCTAGATATGAGGCAGGAAGGGGGAGGCCAGTTAAATGCGGAGGGGCCGGTGGCAGCTGGTAAATGGCACTTGCCAAGAATATTTAAGTTCTTTGGAGAAAACGTCGTGAAACAGAAAAACTACATGTATATAGATCACAAAATGAAAATCCTACAACTCAGATGAACATAATACTCAGTAAGAAAAGCCAGACATAGGAACACATACTCCCTGATTTTATGTCTGTAAGTAAAAACCAAAAACTGGTGGCATTATACACGCGTGCTTAACAAGACCACAATCGATAGTCATGACAACACGGGAAGGGGAATTTCACGGAGCCTCAACCCTAATGGAAGAGCTACAGGTAACTAAGGAATGCCAAGAGCAGGAGAAGTAGTCTTCCCCAGGGAGGAGTCCCCAGACTGCTTTTGCTATACCAAGTGGCTAGCCCAGAAGCCATATACATGCAAGTAACATTGAATGGACTGAGAAGGTTATATTTACAGAAAGCAAGGAAAGGTGGGGGAGGCCATAGGAGGGAATGCAGGGGGGCTAGGGAAGAATATATAACTACATTTAAATCAAAACTAAACAGAAGCCCAAGTAGCGTTTTGTATGTTGTTAGTGGGCAGGAGGATGAGTAGTTCCTCTGAGGAGTGGAGTGAATGGGGGGTAGGGGTGACAGAAAGGGAACCAAAAGCTGGGTCTTTGGCAGTGGTAATTCTTGACCTGGAAATGGCTGGTTGTGGAGTGTTCACTTGGCACCTTTTTGATGCATCCACTTTTCGGTATACATATTTTATTAAAAATAAAGCCGAGGATATAAAACATCAAAATATATGCGTGACCCAGACAAATGGAAGCTGTCAGGTCCTTACTAGACTCGACTATATAGTGGAAACATGGTGTTTTTGTTTTAAAAACTGCCATGGTTTAGATAAAAAAAAAGATTATGTATATGCATGTCCATCTGTGTATGGGTAAATGCATGTCAGTGCAGGTGCCTATAGAGGGAGGCCAGAAGCACCAAATCTGCTGGAGCTGGAGTAACAGGTAGTTGTGAGCTCCCTGATATGGGTTTTGAGAACCTAACTCATGCCCTCTGTGAGAGCAGTATGCAATCGTAACCACCGAGCCATCTTTCCAGCTTCTAGCACATGGATTTTGAGTGTCCTCATAAGCCCCATGCTTCCCAGGCATAGTTTTCTGGTTGGCACCACTGGAAGGTGGTAGAACTCCTATGAAGTGGGGCCTAGTAGATGGTCTGGGGGGGAACCTTTGAGGAGGGATCCCAGGATCCCAGGCCCCTCTTTACTCTTTGCTTCCTGGCCCCAAGGTGTTTGGTTTTACTCTTCCACACACCTCTCCCATGATCTATTATGTAACTACAGAGTCATCCTCAAAGCAACAAGCCAACTGATAACAGACTGAAGCCTCCAAACCTCGAGTCAACAGAAACTCTCTCTTTGTGAGTTGGTATCTTGGGTGTGTTATGTCACAAAGGAGACCAAGACAAAGGGTATCTTCTAAAAACAAGAGAACACAAGTGGTGACATCAGTATCAGGATAGGAAATGGACCAAAGGGGAGGACCCTGTCCTTCCACAATCCATTCTTAGATTTTTGTCTGAGAGAGTCAAGGAGATTGTGTATAGACATGGGATGGGTGCCTATCCTTCGAAGTTAGATTTTGTACTCTAGGTACAATCTGTGTTCCCCAGGAAGTTTCCTTGAATTTGGTACTCAGGTAAGTAGTCTACAGTCTGTGACATGAGGTCCTTGATGGCCTTCTGAAGAGGCTCTCAGGGAGCTAGGAGATGGAAGGTTTGGGGTGCTGCATCCCAGGCTTCCAGGCAGCAGAAGCTTCATCTCTTACACCATCCAGACTGCTGCCAAGCCCAGTTTGCTCACAGAACTCTGCAGCAAGCACACAAGTAATGTTTAGAATGTCAAATACTGGAAAGTGGGGTCAATGCCAAGAAAAGCCAAAGACCTAGACTCTCAGTCTAGTGATTTCCCAGAGCAGGGCTGTATTTGTCCTTGGGACAAGGAAGTGTTGTCCTGAACAGACAGTTTACAAATAGGGGCGCTGATTTCTTCAAGGAGTTACGTGTGTACCTACTATTTGTCTTAAAATTGCTCAGGAAGTGTAGGGCTAATGGGAGGAAGTACATACAGACTTAGATACTGAAGGCTTGCCACCTCAGGGAGAGACATATACTGATTGAGCTCAAATGATACAAGGCTTGAGTACACCAGAGAGAGAATGACAGCATCTGTAGACACACCTTGAGAAAAGATGCAGGTGAGAGGCAGAAGAGCCGAGTTGTCATTGTAGCACCTCCAGGGAGAGCGAGAGAATCATGATGTCTGTCCATGCCCACTAGGCCTTTGAACCCTCAGCTTGGAGTTGTACATTAAAAAACTGTATTGGAAGACCTCTTGCTCCCATGTAGCACTTAGTGGGGGGGCATCTCCCTTTTGGTCCCCAATGGAAATACAAGGCTGCTCTGGAGAAAAAACAAGTAGAGCAAGAGAACTGGGTGTCATGAGCCTTTCATTTGATGCAGAGGGAGTGTTGCCTAGGTGAACAGAGGAGTTAATACCCCATCTCCCCATGACTGCCTTGATGGCACCTGGAACTTGTGCCTCCAGTCCTCACAATATTCCCAAGGAGAAGCAGATGCTAAGGAAACCCTTCTCTGGTCTGTTTGGTAGAAGCCTTCCTCAGGCTCACTCATGAAGAAACCTGTATTGTGAGTTTGTCAATGGATTATTGCTGCTGCCACAGTGTGGGGATTTCTCATCTGGGACTATGAACCGTAGGGCAGAGAACAACACTACAAAGATATCTGGAATGACAACCAGCCCTTTCATGACTAGCTTTGATATTATGAACAAAGAATATCGAAGAAAAACAAGTAAGGCATTAGAGAGCTAGTCCCTTGTCTCTCTTAGGGATGGCAACCACACTACAGAGAACCTCATTAGCCACCTAGACATGCCAACAAATGTCTTGGAAAGATACCAGACATACTAGCCTAAACCTGATGTTTAGAATACCTTTGACACTGGGAGTATAATTAGCTGTGCAAAAATAGCCCACTGGCATCACTAAAAGTAATAAGAACCAAGCATTTACTATAAGCCAAACATTACAGAAATGTAAATACTTATTTTCCATAATGATCTCAACAGGCAGGTACTATTTTTTTCAGCAGTAGGTATCTTTTAATATAGTTCAGATTTTACTCAAATAAAAACAACATCTGGGGTGCTGAATTCCTTCTGTAGAGATTTTGAACTTTTTGATCCACAAAGTGATGGATTTATTCTTGCATTTTTTCTTTTTTACTTATTTTTTTTACATCCCAATCCCAGTTCCACTTCCCTTCTTCCCTCCCACTCCTTTGACTCCTCCCTCCTCCCATCTGTTCCATGGAGAGGGTAAGTAATCTACTAAGTAGTCTACTACATAAGTCGTCTATTAAGTCTGTCCCATCCTCTAGATGAGGCAGGACTGAAGCACCTCTCCACCCCCATAGCCCTGTCTAGGCTGGCCATGGTATCTCTCCATATGGAAGGGCTCCACTAAGTCAGTTTGAACATTAGTGTTAGGTCTTGAACTCACTGCCAGTGGCCTCATATATTGTCCCAGTAACACCATTGTCACCTATATTAAGGGAGTCTAGTTTGGCAGATTCCCCATTTGTCAGACCTGAGTCAGTGATCTCTCATTAGCTCAGGTCAGCTGATTCTGTGGGTTTTCCAATCATGGTCTTGACTCCTTTGTTCATATTTTCACTCCCCCCTCACTTTGATTGTACTCCAGGAGCTTGGGCCATTGGTTAGTTGTGGATTTCTGCATCTGCTTCCATCTGTTTCTGGAAGAGGGTTCTAGCTTATCTGGTGTTGTGGATTGTAGAGGGTTCCTTTTGCTTTATTTCTGGTATCCACTTATGGATGAGCACATACTATATTTGTCTTCTGGTTTTAGGTTACCTCACTTAGCAGGCAGGTACTATTATCAATTCTGTTACGTAAAGGAGAAAAGTGGGTCTCAGAGAGATTAAGAAATCTGGGGAGATCAGCTCTGTGGCTTAAATGCTTGCACAGTTTAAAAGCTGGAGTTGGGATCCCCAACACCCATATAAATGATAGGGTGGGTGTGGCAGCCTGCCTCTAATTCTAGAGTTTAAGAAGTAGAGATGGAATCAAAAACACCAATGACAATTTATGCTGGAGAGGATGTGGTGAAAGGGGGACACTCCTCCATTGCTGGTGGGAGTGCCAACTGGTTCAGCCACTTTGGAAATCAGTATGGAGATTCCTCAGAAAAATGGGAATAAACCTACCACAAGACCCAGCAACTCCACTCTTAGGCATATATCCAATAGATGCCCATTCATACAACAAGGATGTCTGTTCCACTATGTTCATAGCAGCATTATTTGTAATAGCCAGAACTTGGAAGCAACCTAGATGTCCCTCACCTGAAGAGTGGATAGAGAAAATGTGGTACATCTACACAATGGAGTACTATTCAGCAGAAAAAAATAATGGAATCATGAGATTCGCAGGCAAATGGATGACACTAGAAGAAACCATCCTGAGTGAGGTAACCCAGTCACAAAAAGAGAAACATGGCATATACTCTCTCATATATGGATTTTAGACATAGATCTGGGGAGTGCCAGCCTACAATCCTATGGCCAGAAAGTCTGGGAAACAGAAACTTCATTTAGTGGCTGATCGAAGAAGAGGCAGACTCCCTTGGTTAAGTACTGAGCTGAACTCAAGAAAGCCAGTAACAGAGAGGGAGGACTGATGATCAA